ATTATCGACAAAAATCGTTACGAAAACTCCTTTTTTTTCATTTTATCTTTTTTACAGCCATTTTAGCAAGAGACGGGATTCACCTGTATTAGAAGTGGAACTGGACGTGGACGAGATGGCTAAAAATCACAAAGCGTAGATTTATTTATGGCTAAAAATAATTTAGAAAAAATTGTCATGAAATATGTTGCTTGATGAATGCCAAAAGCTTGGGATTTTCTTGAAATTTTCCTTGAGCGGCCTGTGTATTGAATTCTTTAGATTTGTCATGAAATTTTGGTTCCATTTTTGTTTGGGAAATCTGAACCATGTATTACTGAAAAATAAAGGGTTGTACTTTTAGCTCCCAATAGAGTTGTTAACATAAACTAACAAACCTGTTCGTGGGCTTAGGTGCGTTAAATAAGGCGAACTTGAGTTTGTTTAGTTACCAGTGTAATTGCTCGAAAAATGTAAGTTCTTGCATGATTTCTTGAGCCGAGACAGGTACACCTCTAGTCCTCAATAATAATAATAATAATAATAATAATAATGATCTGATTATCGATTTGTTCTTTCGTTTAAGATCCAATTAACAAAGTTAAAATTAATTACATTGTAAGATTAAATAAACTAGAACTAATTGCGATGATTCTTATTTTATTCGTCTTTTTTAATGTAGACACAATCATTGCAAATGACTCTGAATGTTTTACTGTGTGCAGATGCATTTTTCGATTCAGAATATTTGAATTTTTTACATTGCATCTTTTTGTGCACAAGCTTTCGATACTATCTCGTAAATTTAAAATAAATAATACATACCCCGTTTGTGAAAATGAAAGTTGAATGAAATTCTGCCCATTTTATACAGTTGGGCCTGAAAGGCTGAAACAGACGGTCCGTTCACATGTGGCCCATTTATTCTTTCGTCACCTTAGCTGGCTTATTTATTTTTGCTTGCATGAACCCCATCATTTTGCTTCGACCCGCGTTAAGTTGAACCCGCGAAAACCGCCATTGGAGGCACTGCTCCCCAGCTTTCAACCATGTCAAGCTCGATTCATTGTCTGTCGCCTAACATCACAGGTAAAAATTTTGTTGCTTCTTGCACTTTTTCTTATGCTAAACAAGGTGTTGATATATAAGCGTACAAGACATTTTGCTCGAACACGGCGCAAGAAGAAGACATTGTTGTAACTTTGTAGGTTTGTAATTTGTAAGTGTCTGGTAGAAATCTATCAATTCGGTTCTCGTGTTTTGTGGGTTGTTTTTAGGGTTTAAGCCTCGTGTAGGAGTGACGCACGCTATCTGTTTGAGGAAATGACTGAAACTATCTTTTTGTTTCCTTGGATGAGTTATTTGGATTTTGACCCGGAAAACATAATCTGGGGACTAATTTGTGCAGCTACTTGTAAGATAAATGTTGTCTTTGTTTTGGCTGCTATGATTGTACATTGGAGGTGCAAAAATTTAAAGATTGGTACCGAATAATTGAATGTCTTTTTTCCCCTTTATTTGAGTTCCTAGGTAGAATTTCTAATCATGGAGGGACAGTGGTTGTTCTTGTATCACCACAAAAGTTATTTGCTTTTTTTTCTTTCTTCTCTTAGCTTGTTATAAAATTTTAAAAATTTCCAGTTGTGCGGCTAATGTAATCAATTTTGTGCAGTATGAGTGGTGTAACTTAAATTTATTGCATAATGTTGTAGAGTATCGAGTGGTGTAACTCATAGTTGTTGCTATGAATGCTTCTCGGACAAGTGTGTTGCCATTGCGTTACTTGTTAAGACCAATGATATGGTGTTAAAGAATACTCTTTTACTTATGAATGTGTGAAAAGAAAATTTTCTATATATTAAGCACTGTGGTTGAAGAAATGCATTTACTTTGAATCTTCTTCTGGCTTTGTTTTTTCTTGCTCAATCTCATGGTATTATGAGAAAAAGACGGAGATACAAGATAATACTTGGAAGTGAAAACCCTTTATCTCTATCATGTAGTTGATTGTAATTCAATCTTTTATATATATATATAAAAGAATTAATTTCTTGTGTATTACAAAACCTAGAAATAGTTATTTTTCAAGAATGGGATCTCTTCATCAAAGGCATATCAACTGGAGGAATGGAAATCTTTACTGTGCTTAATAAAAAAAGAAATAAATGCAATAGAGAGAGAAAAAAAAAAAAGAATCTTAAAAACATTTGCTTTGCTTTGTTGCAGGATCTGGCCTACCCGATGGCCGATATCTTCCGTTCTCGGGACTTTCAGGGAGAGCACTCGGCCTATCACCCAACTCCACCCACACCAGCTACAAAATAATTTCAGAGAAAAAACACCACTTATCCTTGAAATGCTCGTTCAGGCACAACGTCACTTGCAACGCGAGTCCCAACAACAACTACAGGCGAAACACTGATTCAAGAAAGCACAATTTTTCACGCAACAGGAATAACAGGCACAAGGAGGACAGAGAAGATGACTATGAAGAACAACTCGACGGGTTCGTTACTACTCTCCCTTCAGAAAACGGGGCCTTCTCTTCCGTTTCCTCTAACCAGAGCTCCCGGGGCACTGCCACTCCAGGCGCCCGAGAAAGAGAAATTGTCGAGCTATTCAAAAAGGTGCAGGCCAAGATTCGAGAACGAGCGGCACTGAAGGAAGAAGAAGGGAAAAAAGCCGAGACTCCTCAAGGAAAAGGGAAAGAAAGCCAGACAGTTGACTCGCTTCTCAAGCTTTTGAGAAAACACTCGGTACCACAGGGCAAGAAAGCAGCCCATTTTAGTGATAACGATCAGGATTTCATTCTTGATCAGAAAAAAGCCAAGGATGATGAGGAAATTCAAGATAGCCCAAGGCAAAATCGTAGCCGGCCAAAGTCGAGGTTCCAGAAGAGGTCTCCTGTCCCGGAAAATAAATTCCAGCCTGTTTATTCAGATGGCTCTGATAATTCAATCTTGGATGAGAACTTGGAGAAAGAAAGTGAGATGAGTAATTTAGAGGTGGAAGCTGATGAAGAGGAGGAGGCTCTATCTGATGAGTCTGATGTGGATGCTCTCTTCCCGGAACTTAGTGAGTTGGATGAAATATCCGGCCTTAACGATGAAGATGAAGATGAAGATGAAGAGGGAGATGAAGATAGTCTGGTTGAGGCTGACGATTTGAGTGGTAAGAAGCTGCCTGAGTTGAGGGCCCTTGCAAAGTCTCGTGGGTTGAAAGGATACTCGAAGCTGAAAAAAGGTGAGCTTATTGAGCTGTTGAGTGAGTAAAAGAGTTATGATAGCTAGCGTTTTGTGTGAGATATTGTTTTTTTTTTTTCTTCGATGAAAAGTGAATGTGTAAGGACTTTTTAATTTTTATGTTACTCCTGGTTGCATTTGTACTGGACTACGGGTTAGTCGTTTTGGCGCCGAACGTTTTGTAGGACCGAAATTTTCTTAAGTTGAAAAAATTTAAGTTTGGAGTTCAAAGCTTAGGGTATATTCAATTGAGATTTTTAAAGATTTTTTAAGACTTTAAAAATTCTGGTATATTCAATTTAGATTTTTTAAGACTTTTCGAAGTCTAGGGTATTCATTTGAGATTCTAAAAAGTCTAACAAAATCTTGAGTTATTTAATTTATTTGAGACTAAGATTTGCTATTTTTTAAGATTTTGTGAGATTTCTAAAGAAAATTTTGTACCAAATCTCACTTCAAATCCCACCTCTAACACTTTTTGAAACTTTTTGAGAATTGAGATTTTTTAAAATTTTCAGATATTGGAGAAATCTTGTGAAATCTTAAACTTGGTGGTGGGATTTTGAGTGTCATTTCGTATAAGATTTTTATTCAGAAATCCCAACAAATATTAAAAAGTCTCAACAAATCCTAGTCTTAAATAAATTAATAAATATTTCAAGATTTGTAAGATTTTTTAAAATCACAAATGAATATCTCAAGACATTTAAAAATTGGAAAATTTACATACTTAGACTTCATATAGGAGTTATTTTCACATATACAATTAAAATATTTATCAAGAGGGGATTTGATGCAGATTTTATTTTCACAAATCGATATGTATTTATCTTTCCAAGAAATTTGTCTCTCTCCAAAATAAAATCATGCCATTAATATGGCCGTTCTTCTCTTTTCAAGAAATCCGTTCTCTCTCCAAAACAAAAATTATGCCATTAATATGCCCGAAAATGATGCAATGAAAACCNTTTGGGCTACAGGAATTCAAAAATTCAAACAGATTACAGTACATCGGCGTGATCAGATATCCTGTATATATACAATAGATAAATAACATGACAAATTCAAACATTTACGTAATTGAATCTTATATAGAGTATAGTTATACGGAACATATACATTAGATACACAAATATGTAGACACACAAATATTATAGATTCAAACAACGATGCAAATAAACAAAGAGTATAGTTATGGTCAATGTATACATTAAGTAAACAAATCCGACAGATGAAGACGATGATGATTTTGTGTCTGAGTCTTTCGCCCGATTTTACGGCCAGCCACGAGCCGAGCCCAGTGATTACCGCACGCACAACACATGCCCCTTTGCCGCCAGTGCTATCCGTCGTCACCGATTCGAAGCTCGCCGTCAGCCGCTCTCCTCTCGATTTTACCAATAATGGCATTTTCTTCGCCATTGACGTGCCTCATGCAATAAATAAATAGGGTTTTCTGCTCGGTGTACAAAGATGATATATGTAACAGAGAAAATTGGTAAGATAATGGTGGGAAGGGTGTTAGCGGGGGATGATGATTTTTTTAGAGATAAGTTGCAATGACAATGGTGAATCTTGGAGGTTTACTTAATGTATTAATTCTTTTAGAAATCTCAATTGAATACGCTCCCTTAAGATTTTACAGGATTCCTCCAAAATATTAAAAAGTTTCAAATTTTAAAATTTCTCAAAATGTCACTAGAAATCGCTATTAAATACACCCTCTAAGTTATGGTGTGGTCACATCAACTGCCAATTGCAATTACTAATTACCGGGCAATTCCATATTTCCTTCTATGTTCTCTTCGAATAAAAAATCTCTCATATTGCCAACTAACTTTCTTTTCTCAAGCATTTACCGTTAGATGGAAAAATAACACTTGTAGATAACTAGAGACTGCACAAACTTCGTCCTGAGGCAAAGGCCCTTTCACCTCCTTGGCTCTGCGCCTCGCGGCGCCGTCCGTGGGCATGGTTGTGACCGTGAGCAAGAGAGGGTCATCGGCGCTCGAGCCGTGTATCCCTTTCTCGAGCCAGGGTCAGTGTCGCCGTCTTGTCCCGCTCATCTACCTCGTTCGAGTCGTGTTCCACAGCTCCATCTTCTTCTTCAGGCTGGTGACCTCTCGATGGGTTTCGCCACTGGATCTGGTGCCCTCAAGGTACGCGAGTCTAGTCCTCGGGCGATGCTCGGAGCCAATCCCTTCGGGCCTCTTACTTCTCGATCAATGACTTCGGGATTTCAGATCTGGCAGCGGTTCTACCTAGCCGCTTCTGTGGGTTTTTAGTTTAAGTTCCGTTTTTGTAGCACTTTAAGTCCTGTTTGTGGTTTTTTAGTTTGTGGATTCTGGCTTTGGTCTCGTTTGGGTTATGTTGTGGGTTGTTTGTGTTAGTTGGGGAGGTAGTAGTCTATAGTTAGATTAGGTGTGTATTAGTTTTTTTTTAGTGTGTTTTCTTCACTTGTTGGAGTATTTTATTAGTTGTTTATCTGGATTGGGCTCCAGCATACCAGTCTCAGTTGCTTCTAGTCACTGCCGCTTGTCCGGACCCAATTACAGTTGTTTTTGTTTGTCTAGAGTGCTATATGTTTAGCATTCTTCCCAATACCACCTCCTTAGTGCTATTATAAGGGGTTTTTAGCCATTCGGTTCTCATTGTAAAATTTCTTTTTAGAGACCTATAAAGCATTCTTCCCAATACCACCTCCTTAGTGCTATTATAAGGGGTTTTGCCATTCGGTTCTCATTGCAAACTTTCTTTTTACAGACCTATAAAATCTATCGTNAAACTACCTACACGAGTAACAGTCCCACGTGGAAGAAACTACATAGCACTATTAGAGCATCTCCAATGCAACTTTTGACATTATAAAAAGTCATCTATATCATCAACTTTTGAAAGTGTGTCTCTATTTTTTTTCTCCAATGCATCTTGTCATGAACTTTTCCATGATGAGGTGAATGTCATTTAATGTTGACAATGTTGAGCCCACTTTCTAATATCTAACACCATGTTAAACATGATGACTCATCAATTTACTTTATATTTGTTTTAATTTTTTATTTTTTTTGTATCAATGAATTATTTAATTGGTCTACCCATACAAATAACTTCTTATCAAATGATGCATTGGAGATACTAGTCTCATTGAAATTTCTAATCTTTTAACATTATTCCAATGTGGATTAACATTACAATCACTAATTGACATGTGTTAAAAATAATGGTCTTTCACACTTATAGCATTGGAGATGCTCTTAATTAGTCATTTTATCGGTTACTTGACTTGGTACCTAAACTATGCATATTTATTGATTATTTGGAACATGAATTATAGTCATTTTATCAATTTGGTACATGAAGTATATGGCTAGTTGATTCTGTACCTAAAAACTATACAATATTTTAGTTAATTAGTATCTGATCAAATTAAGATCAGAAATAGTCAATCTTCAAATGGATCTGACAGGTGATTAAGGGGCCTTTTGTCGTTTCAAATATGATTAGACTAAACATCACATGTGATAATCAAATTTTATACTTGACTTTCAGATCAATTGGTCCTAAAGTTGTCAAATTTGGTTTGCGAATATTCAAATAGAAAAATTGTTAGATTTGTAATTATCATGTGCTGGTTCATTAAATCTTAATTCCTCTTCAAAATTGGTTGATTTAACCAATAAATATATATACTCTAGGTACGTAATTGAAGTTCCAATTTACCAGTAAGTGTATATAGTTTAGGTAACTAGTCAACTAATCGTATGCTTTACTAATCAATAAAATGACTAGTTCAGTTACCAATAAATCAATATCCCTAATTTATTTTTATATCAGTTCTATTCTGCCTTTATCATTTCATAACCTTTTCTTTCTGCCAAAACATATTATACTAAGTTTTTTTTAAACATATTATATTAAGTTAACATAACATCAACACGTTTAACAGCGTAATAATTATAATTAGGTGATATAATAAACTTTTTGGTTCTCAGTAAATATTTGAAATTCAGTAGACTTTCCAGGCACACCTTTAAGTTCAAAGTTATAGGTCACAGTTCTGGTACTGTTTCTCCACTTTTCTTCTTCCCTGACCTCAATCTTATAATAATAACAGGCAACTTAAATTTCAGACTCCATTTTTAGTCAATCTTTAGACACACCTATTTTCATTACTTCATCATAATGATAGTCCTGATTAGAGGAGAATGGGATCAGGATATTCTTCAGTTCATATTTTTAGTTACAAGTTTTTTTAAAAATATTTACAACATGCATAGTTATACCACAGTTTTCTTTGGTCTTCTTTCCTGGGTAGATGAGTGGGAATATCCTTCAACTGCAGCATTCTTTGCAGTTGAAAGCCTTTGGTAGCACCTTTGTTTGCATCAGATCATGTCTTTCTCCGGCTCTCTTGCCTCCACTATTTAATCTGTGCATCAGAAACTCAGAAACTGATGTTAGTTATTTTTCTGGAGGTCTTCAAGTTGAAGCAGTGGAGAATGTAAATATGCAAACTNAAAAAAACAAACAAACAAACATAATGATTCTCATCTTCTAGTGTTCTGGATACATGCTAATTGATCAATATAGACTATAGAGAGTGTGTACTCTTTTTCTTAAAAAAGGAAAAAGAGAGAAAAAGATTAATAATGGACTAGATCAAAATGGCTCAATTAAATTCTAGTGCTTCTTCTATTAGTGAAGTTTCTAGAAAAAAAAAATATATCAAACGGCGCAATGCACCTTGGGTCGCTACGGAAACAAAATCCTTGTATAATTACAAGGGTAAGGTCTACGTCCAATCGACCCTCCAGACCCCAACCTGTTGGGAATATGCTGGGTATGTTGTTGTTGTAGAGAAAAAGATTAATCTCAACAATATAATAAAATATGATAAAAACTTTTAAGCTTCACAATTTGTTAAGCTAGCTCCAGATCAATCATATAAGCTCAAGATATTCAAGAATTCAGCAGGGTATGTCATTGACTCCAAAAGTCCATCAGCAATTGACCAGTTTTATAACTGAAGTGACATGTACAGGAGAATAAACTAATTTTGCAATGACAATATCTCACACTAGCTATGCCCTAACAGTTCCATTATCTTCTTAAATATTGGATGCATCAAGAAAACTTAGAGAAGGATAGACAATTAAGTTATTGAGATAACTATCATTTCCAGGAATTCATTCACTATAATGTTTATCAACGGAAAAACTTACCTCAAAGGATAATAACAAAAAATATACAATGGTGAACTTATGAACATCAACCTACTGAAACACGTGATTAGCAGGTTTTATTCTTGACACAAAAGGCAATTGTTACTAAATGCATAACCTGTGAAGCAAACCAAATTAAAGTTTATGCAGTAACTAACCACATAGCAAACTTAAAATCAAGACACACATATATTTAGATAAGTAAAACTACCTGTAAAGCTTCAGTGAAACCAAGCAGGCGATACAACTGGGGGCTTTGTCTATGCTTATCAACCATCATCAGGAAACTAAGAATCTCATTCCTGTCAAAACAAGAAGTCACATCATAAGCAGCCAACAAATGCAAGAATCCCAACACCGCCAAAGGGTTTTCGCTGTTCGCCCTAATCTTCGATTTCCATGAGCTGGCAAGGTCAATTGCTTCTTTCCTGGTGCAGGGTTGAATTTTCTTAGACATCCTAAACAACTGCTCTAATAGAATAATGCAGGCTCTCCGTACATTGACCTCTACGTCTCCTTTCCTCAAATGAGGAGGGTAAAAACCGACCATTGCATCTAAAACCAGCTTCGCAGGATCGGATGATAAATGGAGAATTTTGAAAACTTCATCACCCATGGATTCCAAATCTTTTTCGGGGTCGTTTAGGAACATTTGCAGAGTTTTTCCGTCCATTCTCAAGATGAACTTTATGTCTGCTGAATCGTTCAGATCGAGATCTCTAGCACGCTTCTCGACCAAATCCTTTTCGAGGAGCAATTTTTTCTTTATGGTTTGATGTTCCCTGAAACAATTACGGATAAATTGTTTCACAGAATCAAGGACCTTTTCCCTGCGATCAAGCACTTGCGAAAGATTTTTGTTTGATTCTCGAACTGAATTAACTTCCCCCCATTTAACTTCAAGTTCCCTTTGCCAGGACTCGAGATTCTTTCTCTCCATTTTGAGTTCCTCATGGTTTTCTCGAAGTTTGTTTTTCTTATGAATCAATTTTTCCTCTTCTGTCAAGAGGCTCTTCTTCTTCTCTCTCAGCTTCATTCTTTTAGAATCTACCTCATCCATTTTCTGCTCAACCCAATGACAAGTTGAGTTAACCTCCATTTCCTTTAAGCTAACTTCTTTCATCTTATCTTGAAGGGTGTTTCTCAAATCCTCAACTTTATGATGCATTGACTCTAATCTTTCCAGAAGCTGATTCCCCAGCTTCTCTTGATCAGTCAATTGTTCGTCCCTCAACTTGGCATCTTTAACAAGCTCTTCACTCATGGCATTCAACTGGTTCTCCATCCAAACCAATCCAAGCATTTTGTCCTCTCGGAATGACATAAACTCTCTTTTCATCATCCCAAAATCCTTCATCTCCAATTCTTTAAGCTCAATGTCCATTGAACCAGTCTCTTTCAACTTCTCATCAACAATTTCTTTGAAGTCCTCAATTTTGTCCTGGCTCAACTCCAACTTTTCCAAGAGCTGGTTCCCTAATCTCCCCTGTTTAGTCAATTGTTCATTCCTCAATTCGGCATCCTTAGCGAGTTCCCGACTCATCGTGTTCAGTTGCTCCTCTTTCAGGACCAACTCGCGCATTTTTTCCTCTTGGAATGAACAAAATGCTCTCCTCATCTCCTCAAACTCCGTCACCTCTCTCTCCAGTAGTTCCCTAATTAAATCGGCATGTTTTACACTCTCTGCAACCGATTCCCAAACCACACTCTCGCGAGTTTCCATCTCCTTGAACCTCTCATTAATTTTGACCATAAACCCCTCCACCTTATTCTCAGCCAACCCCAGCCTCTCACAAAGGCCAATCTTTACAGTCTCTTGCTCCATAAACTTCTCATCGGCCAATCTAACCTCCTTTACAAACTCCTGCCATTTCAAGCTCAGCTGTTCCTCTTTCAACGTCACCTCTCTCATCCTCCTATCCACATCCCGATTCAACTCGCTCTCCCTTTCCTCCACGGCGCATATCCGATCATCCAGGGTTCCTACAATTTGCTGGAGTTTCCTCTCCCTCTCGGCCAACGACTGTCGGGCCAAACTAATACTCGCTTCTTGAGCCTTAATCTCCTTCAACCTCTCGCACGTTTTCCGCTGCATGGACTTTTGCTCCGCCTCGAGCCGCTGGATTTGCACCCGCAACGCCGTCAGCTGCCCGTCCAACTCCTCCTCCTTCATTCTGACGCCACTCAGAAGCTCCTCCCTCCTCGCGCCAAGTTCCTCCTCCTCTAGGGCCAGCTTCCTCTTCTTCCCCTCCCTGAACGCGCGAAAATCGGACTCTCTCGCCTCCAAGTCCTTGAGCCCCTTGTCGTACGACTCCCTGAGGAACTCGATCTCCATCATCCTCTCCACCACCGACTCCCGGGCCAAGTCCAGATTCCTCTGCCTGGACTCGATCTCTGAGAAGCTCCGCTGGAGAAGTTTCACCACGTTCTCCGCGACATTGGTTCGCTCGCTCAAATCGTCCAGAAGCTTCTCCATTTTCTCCGCCCGACAGGGAACACACTCAGAGGACGCACGCTAATAAGAACACCGCCGAAGCTGTGCGAGGCACATGCGGCGGAAAAATGCCGGCGAAACTCAGGGCTCGCACGGCTTGTGGGGATAGTGTGTGTGACTGTGTGAGAGATTAGGGCTTTTTTTGGCCTTTCTGCGGCGGAGAAAGGGGGAAAGTGGAGAAGACTAAGGACTAACCGGCGCTGCAAAGCAATGAAACCGTCAGAAGCAGTACGTTTTATGATTGGCAGATTTTTTCTTTTTGTTTTATTTTGTTTATTTTTAATTTTTAAGTATTATTTGGAGTGATAGCCGATAGGTTGGTTGAAAGAGGGTTTTGAAATTGATGCACAAAATGATGACTACTATTGGAAAAATATTCTGAAAAAAATAATTTGATTGGTGGGTAAGAAACTTCATATATGGAGTTCGAAATGTGAAAAGTAAAAGAACATATATATAGTTTCTTTTGTTAGAAGAAATAATATTTTTTTAATTCTTTGCGGGAGATGGGACACAAAATTCTAGAATGGATTTGATTATCCTTCTTGAACTTTGTTTCATGTGATGGTGATTATTTTCATCCAACTAGTCTACTATAGCCTCCTGTATTCATTTAATTTCTAAAGTTTTTTAACATTTTAAAAATTTTAGTGTATTTAATTTAGATTTTGAAAAGTTTTTGGCACTGTTTTAAATACCTTATCGGTGGTAATACCGGTCTATCCACCGATACGTGGTATTATCGGTAAGACCGATAATATCGGTGGTATTACCGGACTAGCAAATATATTGATATATATATAAATGTACCTAAAAATATATAATACCAAATACAAAAAGGTAAAAAAATAAATTATCATAATAACTAATTTCAACTTCTCAATGAGATAAAAAATAAAACATTTTAAATCAATTTAAATTTTATGTTTTTAAATTAATAAATTTTATTTTTTTTATTGGACGGTATTTTGGACCGATATTTTTTAGTATTTAAGGTATGATCCCGGTACAAATCGGTATAACCGTAAATCCGGTATTTTGTGTGCAATCGTACCGTACCAATGGCCTATCCGGTATTACTGGCCGATACGGTACGGTATTTAAAATATGGATCTTAGGTATTTAACTTATATGAGACTAAAATTTAGCAAGATTTTTTTAAAATTTGTGGGGGATTTTCTGAAATTTGAAAAGAAACTAACATATGTGAAATCTCACCTCAAGATTCACGGGATTCTAAAAATTTTAAGAAATCTCATCTAAAAAAGGCTCACTCGAAATCTAGAAATTCCAAACGAATATACCTCTTAATTGTTATTCATACAATATAAAAAATAATTAAAACAATAATACTTCAATGGTATCACAAGTGCTTTGTATCTAGTGCACTCATTCAAACCATTATACCTACGCGCACTTGCACAGGTGTGTGTACATGCATGTATTCAATTAGAATTTTAGGTGACATTTTAAGATTTTTTAAGATTTCATACTTGTTAAGATTTTTAAATTTTGGAGGATTTCTATGAAATTTTAAGTTTGGAGGTAGGATTTGAAGTAGGATTTCGTATAAGGTTTTTTTTGTTTAGAAATCTACTAAATCTTAAAAAGTCTTAACAAATCCTAGTGTCAAATAAATTAAATACGTAAGACTTTTAAAATCTCAATTGCATACCCCAAGATTTGTAAAGTCTTAAAAAGTCTAATAAAATTTAAATTGAATACACCAGGATTTCTAAAGTCTTAAAAAATCTTTATAAATCCTAACGGAATACACCCCCTACACTTTAGAAGCTCAAAATTGCCCACATATGCAAGATCATCGAATCTTCTTTAGTTACCATCTTTATTTGAGATTTCTAAACACTTTTTAAGACTTTAAAAATCATGGTGTATTTAATTTGGACTTTTTAAAGTCTTAGTGTATTCATTTGAGATTTTAAAAAGTCTTACAAAAATATGAGGTATTTTAACTTATTGGAGAGTAGTATTTGATAAGATTTTTTAAGATTTGATAGCATTTCAAAAGACAAAACTTTATACAAAATCATACTCTAAATCCGACCTTCAGACTTAGGGGGTGTATTCGTTTGGGAATTCGAGTGACATTTTGAGATTTTTTTGAGATTTTCAGATTTTAAAGGAATTTTGTGAAATCCTAAGTGGTGGGAGTTTGAATGAGATTCCGTAGAAGATTTTGTAAAACTTTTTAAATGAACACCCCAAAATTTTTTTAAAGTCTTAAAAAATCCCAAATGAATACAACCGCTAATATTCACAACGTTCCTCTATCTAAAAATCTTAAAAATATCAAATTTTAAAATCTCTCGAAATCTCAGTCCAAATCCCAATTGAATACACTTATCTTAGTTTCTTAAAATCATTTTCAACATAATAGAAAAGGTCCGGTAAATTCGGCAAAATCGGTGAATACATTACTTAAGTTTCTTAAAATCACTCACAATCATACACATAATATGAGTTTAATGTTGTGAACATGCGTTCGATTCCACAATTAATTGAAAGAAAAAAAAAAACTTATAAGGGCACAAGGTTTGAGTTTGTTGATTAAACCTCAATAAAAAAGTATCAAAAGATATTATATAAATCAACTAATAGCAACTGAAAAAGGTTATGTTAATAAACTTTAATAACCTTATAATTACATGTTGCATGAGAGTTCGTGAGCAATGCTTTGAAAATTTAAAAACGAAACTAATAATACCACAATCTTGTAATAAAATTATAAAATATAGAAGTTATGAATACCTTTCAAAGTGGCGAGCGACCAATTTCTCACATCATCTTTCAATGAAAATAAAAGCTTTTCCCGTGATGGAAAAATAAATCTTGCCTTATATTTATATAGATGGGATTTAATAAGAATCCTGCTCCAAATAGTATGGAATTGAAGAATCCTATCCTAAATTGACTTCTATCTATAATACAGTTCGCCTTGTATCTATAGTGTTGAATATCCTACTCCAAATAGACATTTAAATGTCGGAAGACTATAGAACCAACAGTTGGCTCCATAGTTGAGCCAACAAATAAACCTATCATATTATAGAAGGTTGGCTCCACTATGGAGCCAACTGTTGGCTCCATAGTAAAACCGTGTGGGAAGAATCCTATTCTAAATGAACTTCAAACTAGTGTTTTAAATACCGTAATCTATACTTATATTAAAAAGTATACCATTTACCAGATTTAGTATAAAGAAAAGTCAACAACATTTATTACATTACTATTTCCGTATTATACAATCTATACTTATATAAAAGGAGATTCTATTTACTATATTTACTATCCAGAAAAGTCAACTGCATTAAATGTCATTACTATTTTGGTATTATAATATTTTATTTATTTAATTGTTTTATTATTTGTTTTATTTTTTAAAAGGTAAGTATAATAAAAAGATTTTAATAATAAAAAAATCAAATACCAAATAAAAATGTACACTTTGACTTATTTGATTATACCAAATATATTCCTATTTAGTATATACATTAAATACTTAATAAAGTATTTATTTATTTTATTTGTCAAAGTTAAGTATAAATTTGTTTATATTATCAAATCATAAAAAAATATTAAATCCATATTGTAAAAAAAAATCATATAATTTTATAACAATTCTACTATACTATTTAATAATATTTCTTTTTTATTATATAATAAAATAATAATTAAATATTATATTGTGAACAACAATAAGTAAAACTGTTACTTTCTCTTATATCAAGGGATAAATTTATATGCTAAAATTAAATTTTTATTAGTATAAATGTTTTAGTGAGATAATATATTAATTATTTTTCAAGTTAGCCCTAACATGCTCATATTTAATGTTTTAAAAGATGTAGAAAAAACACTTATAATAACTCTATTGTTTTTTAGACTTAGACGTTGATTAAAAGAGGTAAAAATTCCTAATTTTTTAGACTTAAACGTTGATTAACACCATAGATTGAGAGTTTATATTTAGTAAAATTCTTAATTGTAATAAAAAAAATTAATTTTTGCTATATTTTAGAATATCTTTAAACTCATTTGTCAGTAGTCTTAATGTACAAGAGATTTTAAGACTCCACTTGAATATTATAAAACTTTTATTGAACATTGTACAATTTTCTTGCGTATTATAAACTTTTATTGAATATTGAATCTTATAATATAATATTCTCCAAATAAATATATCTCGTGCTTTGCACGGGTCACGTACTATATATATCTCGTACATTTTTTTTTATTCATGTATATAATTATAAGCCTGGATAAATAGCCTTAAAATTGTGCACCCCGTGCATCGCACGGGCTCTGTACTAGTTATATTGGAAGAGCCATCCATACGCGTTCAACTGGTTTCGTCTATTTTACCAGCTTCAATAAATATTAAATTAATTTATTATTATAATATAAATAATGTATAAAACCAACTTTTATAAATATTAAAATTAGTTAAAATATATAACAATGTAAACATGGTAAAATTAAGTCTAGAAGTTTCAATTTATATGAATAAATTAACAAATATATATTAAAAATATTTAAAAAATTCGATGTCAATTTGGTATTTTTGACCAATATTTTACTCAGTATTTTCCGATATGAAACTCGTATAAGCCGATGTTTTGGTCAAATCGGAAGTTAGAGCCTACAAGTCATATTCTAGTACCGATCGAATCATCGGTATCCGATATTCTAGTAACACGAACTGATACGGTATTTAAAACATTGTTTTTAAAAATTATTTTACATTTTTTTGTTTTCTTTTAGTATTTTTTTTTTACCATACATTGTAGGAATTTTTATTTTTATTATAGGTAATGTGATTGTTAACCTCAAATTTAGGGAGCACCTAATTAGAAATATTCGTTTGATTATTGCAATCCAAACCTCAAGGCTAAGTATGGGATGTAACCTCTATTTCACATAATGGCTGCAGACCTGCCCATTGATATTCCTGGTGATCGTAGATGCTATCACATGGCGGGTAGAGTTAACTAATCCGGTAGTGAGGGGATGATGGGAGGCATGCTTCTTACTAAACCAAAGAATCGACGTGATTTTTTCTTCACTTCGCTTCGCTTCGTTCATTGGGTACATTTATATGAGAGAGCATATTTGTCTCTTTTGTGTCTGGTTTTTCCTCTCTCTTACAAGTGCAGTACTAGGACACTCGGCCACTGTTCATCGGGAAATACAATTTGTCATTAATAGAAATAACAGACGTATTAAATGTGCACGAAACTCAAGGAGGCTATGACATTTAGGTTGACAAATGAGTGGTAGATTAATCAAGTTGTCCAATCCTAAATCATTTGTCTGCAATTGACAATTATTTTATTCTTTCTTTTGAGGT